TATGGACATTCAGAAAGCAAAGATAACCTCTTCCGGTACTTAAACAGATGTTTATCGCGGATATTAGTGTGGCAGTGTTTGTGGCACCCTGCGCGGGAGCACGAGGACGTGCTTGTGGAAAGAGGGAGGAAGATGTGGCAGTGTGAGCATCCACAATGTCCCGATAGATTGTGCGCCCTGGCTATTTGGCCAGGGAGATGTCCCTTTGGCTGACTGGTTAGAGCGTATGACTCTCACTTTGGGAGTCTGGGGATCGAATCCCGTCCGGGCACTCGTTTCTGCACCTTGCCACATTAGTTTTTCCAGTTCGGAAGTTGTTTTAAGTGTTGCTATTTGTCTTAAACGGTCACAATGAGGATATATTAATCCTTTTTGCAATATTTGCGATTGAAAGATGGTTTGTGCCACAAACTTTGTGGTAAGAACTGGCTTTCTTTATGTTACAGCCTTGATACTAAAAAAATAAATAAACAATGTAAAATGGCACCCTGTATTGAATGTAAACGTTGTATAAATGGAAATAAACAATTCTCCAGCGATTTAATTTTTTCCCCTTCCTTTCTTTAGTCCACTTGACATGGAGCCACAGTTGGGCACATTTTTACTTGAAAAAAAGTATTTAAAATGATCAAGCTTTGGCTTTACAATGACACTGTGTAGGTTGCTATTCATTACGTTGCTCTATTTAAAAGTAACAAGATAAAAGCACTTCAGCACATAAAATCAAGATTGTCACTTGCCAAATAGACTACACCCTCCCGTTCACCTATAAGAAATGCCTCAAAATATCTTTAAATTCTTTATTGATGATTTAATTGTAGACAACTAAAATGGCATTTTACTTGCCAAAAAGTGATTGAATCGCTAAGATTTTCATGGAGGCTAAAATTGACCAAATAAGGGTTTTATGTATTATCTGTTGACGTTACTGTACTCATACTGCCTACTGTGTCATCAAAAACACCCCAAAAATGGCAACAAAAAAAAAAAAAAAAAAAAGAAGATAATTTCCCTTGCCAAAAATTGATTACAGTGTCCTGGTCACCTGTAAAGGGTTACATTTACCTATATTACTTTATTTATTATTTCTTGATGTTATTGGTGCCATCACAGGATGCCGGTGTCTTTCACATTCATAAACACCTCAAAAATGGCAACAAATGATCATTTCCCTTGCCAAAAATTGATTACAGTGTCCTGGTCACGTGTAAAGGGTTAAATTGACCTAAATATTACCTTATTTATTATCTCTTGATGTTATTAGTGCCATCACAGGATGCTGGGTGTCTTCCACATTCATAAACACAGAGTCCTGGTCACCCATAAAGGCTTAAATTGGCATAAATATTACTTCATGTATTATGATGCTGGGTGTGTTCCACAATCATATTCGAATAAACGTGAAAATATTCTGTCCGAATATCTGTTTCTTGTTATAAATATAACAGCTAGAAGGATTTACAGTTAAAATAGGAGAAACACGTGACTCCCCAGGAAGGGTCGTAACATCACTTGCCTCATGCACATAAGTGAACAAAACAAAGCAGCATGGAGACACTCCGTCTCCAACCACCTCTCAGGCAGCGGCCTGCACTCCCAAGTTCTACACGTCACCAGAACATAAACAACCGCAACACAATAAAAGCAGTGTTATACAAAATGGAAGGCCTGTAGTGTTTATTCTCTTACAGTAACGACTTATCAATTTTTTGGAGGAATTTATTTGAGAATTTTTTGGTTTTTATTAATTGTGCAATAGAAAAGTAATCGCTAGATTAATCATCTAAATAGTCATTAGAATAGTCGACTATTCGATAAAATAATCGTCAGAATAATCATTTTAAAAATAATCAGTTACCCCCAACCCTACTTTTTAGAATACCAGGATAGGAAGGATGGTGTAGGTTTACGTTTATTAGATTGATACATAAATACTACCAATAAGAAAGTGTACGTTGGTGTGTGTCAGAAACAGCATAAGGCTTAATGTCTTTTCCAAAAAAAAAAACAGGTGATGGGCCGGTCTCCAGTCAAAATGCCCGGGCTGAATTTTTGTCCCAGTCCAGCCCTGCTGAGCAGGGTACGTGTTTTGAAGTTGGTGCATCAGATCTGTGTGTTAAACGCAGCACTACCTTTCCACCACGTTAAATGCCCAGTTCGCACACATTACACGTTTATTACACTCCCTTTGCTGCTCATTTTAAAATACACAGAAATTTCAGACATTTTCTCTCTCATGAGATGACAAATATGCTCAGTGTTAGCTAACTGCTACATTTTATGGTGTGTGAATTCCCAGACTACCTTAAATAGTGGGACTTAAGGTGTTGGTGTCTGCGGAACAAAGAACACTGATGTAGAGGAACTTGTTGAATTTAAAACTAAGCCGTTGTTGTTCTCTTTCTCAGGATGAATTAAAAAAATCTTGTTAGTTGTTTTACATTGTTAAATCTGATTTTTCCCACCAGATTCCCATATCCTGAAAATCCCGTGATTAGACTGCAGCATCCCTAATTAAGAGTTAGACAATATCAGATATCAAGGCAAGGTAAGGCGGCTTTTTTTGTATAGCACATTTCAAACACAAAGGCGATTCAAAGTGCCATCAGTAAAAAAGCTGATATCAAGCATCCCTGGATGGAGGCAAAAAGGAAAATGGCAGAAGTCAATCAGAAACCCAAACTGTTGCCCTAAAAAGACTCTGTGTCTGGGGTGGGGGGGATCTCGCGCACCATTTGAAAACGTAGCTCCACCCCTAGTTGAAATTTAAAATATGCTACAAAAGTGGGCGTTGACAGGAGGCACGGAGTGACATGGCAAAGTGTGGGGAATTTCCATCCCGGGAGGAACGGGGAGTGGGAGGAGACTGTACCGATGACGTGAAATTGTTCCAGCCCCAGCCAATCACAAGTTTAAAATGCAGTAGCCGCCGTTCCACCCACAGGGGGCAGCACTGATACATTTTTAGACCTAGGTTCTAGATTTAACCAAGTTTACACAAGCATGTCAAAAAATGCGCAGAAACAGAAATATGGCATTGGAAAGACCCAATTATAAAGTTATTTTGGGGTTTAGTTACTCTTCAAAGTATTTCTCTTATCCGATGGCGCCATCTAGAGGCTGACAAGCATATCACACAAATAGTCTCTCGATCTGTTATTTTAAGATGGCGACTTTTCTTGTTTATGAATGTGCTTCTGTAGCCGACAAACAGAGTAAAAACACATTGATTTACAAGTATTATTCTCAGCACTTTATAAGCCTGGCGGGCCGCCAGGCTAAGCGTCATGCCCCGCCCCCCTCCCCGACCCTACCGCGTTTGCTGACACGAACGGCGCAGTGAAACTATCATCAGCTGATACTGGTGAGAAACAGCAGTGGAACGTGTGCAACCACCCCACCCCCGCTCTCACAGAGGAGCGCTGCGTGACGGATCGCACGATCCGCTAACACGAACGGCGCAGCGAAACTGGAGCCCTCCATCAGCTGATACTGGTGAGAAACAGCAGCGGAGCGTGTGCAAACCCCCCCCCCCCCCCTCACGGAGGAGCGCTGCGGGACAGTGCGCGCGAACACCCCCCCTCCCCGATGGCCAAAGCCGCCAGGCTTAACTCATTTTCTAGGGGAAATCCTGCGAGGTATTCCTTAAAATTGAGGCAGGTAAGCGGTAGTCTAACGCCATTTAGTTCTGGTCGGCGCTTAGTTTCCTATTGCACGGCGCTCTGCTTACATTATATCACAATACATGATGAGGTTATCACTTTTACAGATTTCTGAAACACTATACATAATTTCTGAAAGGGATAACTCTAGAAAGATACTCTAAGTCTAAGTGACAGTGTGACGAAGATCTGTCAGGCTTTTCTAATCCTAGAGTTTCACCGTCTGTTTTCTATCAGAAGCTACTGCAGCAGATAGGTGTAGGAGACTATTTTCATGTTCAGCCTGCATGAAACAGGGTGATCTGTTAGAAACAGAAATAATCATTAAAACAGGGGTTTCAGTAAACCGCGCCTTTAATTGAACCCAAAAGGGCTTAGGGCAGGAAATGACATCATCATCTTATCTAACAAATATCAGCCTGGTGGTGAACTCCCGCTAAGTTGAGCCAGTTAAAGGAAATTCAACTGTGTTGGAGGTGCACCTCTGCCCGGAAAGCAGCGGCTCGGCCTTCGCCATGACTAATAAATCTGTAAGTTTATAGTTTGCTTAAAAAGCTTTCATGCATCAATTAATGATCGTAATAAAACAGCATTACTAACAGGGGGCAACTTTACTTTAGAAATCAGTACCTATGTACTATTTCTTTGAAGCAAAAAGGAAGATGAAACAAAACGAGGTTCACCAGACGGTCAGTTTCTGTGATTTATGGGTTTCGGACAAATATATTCGGTGGCAGAATTTTCGGTGCATCCCTGATGGTAACACTGGTGATGCTAACCCAAGGGGTAAACTCCAGCTGCCAAAAGTGAAGCCAAGCAGTAAGCGACAAACACTGCAGTTCCCACTTCATCCACCAGGGGCTGGTGCAGAAAGGAGCCAGTCCTCATTGACTCTCACGTTAAAAAAGCCTGGTTCAAAAACCATTCTAGGTTTAATAGATCCAGTTCACACTCATGACAACTCTGACGGGCATGACTTTTTGTAACTCTTCTGTTCAGATGTAGTTAAAGCTTTAAATTATGAATAATTTGATTGACAGGTAAGAGATGAACCATCAGTGCTAACAGCTTGGCTCCTGCTTGCCCCAGAGAAGGTCTCAGCCTCTGGGTAACCGGTAAAGCCTAGAAGGCAGAGTAGCAGTCGCTCAACTGCAGTTTTCTAGCTAAAAGCGCCCACCAACCTCCGTTAGCATTGGTTAGCTCAGTTAGCTTGTAGGTACATCGTCTCAGAGTTTGATGGGTGTCAATCATCTGCCCCCAACCTCACAGCCCCACTCTCAGCTACAGGTGACAGCATGAAGAGGTTTTCCACCTTATATGTACAGTCTATGTGCTTACCCTGCATGGCGGCTTCCTCTGGCTGGAACTCTGGGAACTGTCCCTCAGAAGGAACGCTGACGGTCCTTCGGAGGCTCTGGGCCCTGGAGGAGTTGGCAGGGGCCTCTTGAGGTTCTCCTGCACTCTGTGGAGGAGGGGGGAGGTGTCAGTGCTGAAAGATCTCTGCTGGACAGAAGCATAAATCAGAGTTGAGTGTTTGGACCTCATTGTTCCTGTTGATCAGAATGAGCTGGCTGTCTGTCAAGATGCAGAACTTCCTTTCCCAGGTGGCACCGTCTGTGTATGGACTCTGGCCACAGGAGAAGCGGTGAGATGGAGGACCTTTAACATCTGAGAACACAAGAGCAGAACCGTTAGCTCAGGGAGATGGGAGGAGGTCCAGGTTCAGGATTACAGCCATTCCTGCTCTTGTTCTGACTAGGACTGTGTATTCATCCATACACACGCTGGTGGGGACGAGCTACTGTAGCTACAGCTGCCCTGGGGCGCACTGACGGAGTCGAGGCCACCGCCGGTCCCTCCGACCACCACCAGCAGGCAAGGTAAGTTAAGTGTCTTGCCCAAGGACACAACAGCAGAATTCTCTGTTTGGAGGTGGGATCAAACCTGCAACCTTCATTTTGCCTTGGCCCCCAAAATGCCTTGAAACGGCCCTGGGTGTGTGACTGAGTTTTGAAGGTGGTCTGAATTGTATCAGATGTATGAATATTACATGTGTGTAACTTATTGTTTTATACAGGTAAAAACGTGTAGTGGAGATAAATCTTCATTTTACTTTCAACACTTTGTTTTGTTTTCTTGTTTTTATTTAACTATTTCCTGTCCTGTCTGTCTCTCATCTTCCTGCATCTCCTCTAAACTCTCCAGAAAATCTGCTGCCTGGATTCTTACTTTTTCACCTCATCAGTTACTTTTGAGCAGATCAAAGGGATCTCCTGACCGCAAAGTGGACAGCGCGTTTCGATGCTGCATCAGTGAGGTGAAATCACCGCAGCACAGGTGAAGAGCTCCGCAGTAGCAGAGCGCTTCAGGCACAAATAAGACAGAAAGCAGAGAACATGTGCGGACATGAACGATCGGGTGCTAATTATAGTTTTTTGGTTACGCCACTTTGAGAATAATAATACATTTTATTTCAACAGCGCCTTTCTGAACACTCAAGGACACTTTACAGAGATAAAATACACAACAATAAAAGATAAAACAGCATAAAACAAACAGACAGATTGGAGCAACGAGAGTAATTATTTGAATGCTAGACGGAACAGGTGAGTTTTGAGTCTGGTTTTAAAGAGAGTGAGGGAATCAATGTTACGGAGGTCAGGAGGAAGTGAGTTCCAGAGCTGGGGAGCAGAGCGGCTGAAGGCCCTGCTCCCCATAGTGACCAGACGGAAAGGTGGGACTGAGAGGTGGATGGAGGAGGAGGACCTGAGGGAACGGGTGGAGGTTGAAGGATGAAGGAGGTCTGAGAGGTACGGTGGAGCTAGGTTATGGATGGCTTTGAATGTATATAGCAGAATTTTGAATTGGATTCTGGAAGAGACAGGGAGCCAGTGGAGCTGCTGAAGAACAGGGGTGATGTGGTGGAAGGAGGGAGTTCTGGAAATGATGCGGGCTGCCGAGTTCTGGAGAAGTTGGAGTTTATGGAGGGATTTGTGAGGAAGACCGAAGAGAAGAGCGTTGCAGTAGTCAATACGGGAAGTGATGAGGCTGTGGACAAGAATGGCGACCGAGTGAGTAGTGAGGGAGGGGCGTAGGCGGTTAATGTTACGTAGATGGAAGTAGGCAGACCGGGTAATATTGTTTATGTGGGACTGGAAGGATAGTGAGGAGTCGAGGATGACACCCAGACTCTTGACCTGAGGGGAGGGGGAAACTAAGGAGTTGTCGACGGGAAGTGTAAAGCTGTGGATTTTGGATAGTAAAGATTTAGTGCTGACAAGTAACATTTCTGTTTTATCACTGTTGAGTTTGAGAAAGTTTGATGTGAACCAGTCTTTGATTTCAGATAAACAATTGGTGAGGGAGGAAGGAGGAAGTGAAGAGGAGGGTTTGGAGGATACATAGAGCTGGGTGTCATCCGTGTAACAATGAAAATGGATGTCAAATTTACGGAAAATATTTCCCAGGGGAAGAAGGTAAGTGATGAAAAGGAGTGGACCGAGAACAGAGCCTTGGGGGACGCCAGTAGTGACAGGGAAGGGACGGGAAGTGAAGGATTTTAGTTGAATAAACTGAGTACGGCCAGAGAGATATGAACGGAACCAATCAAGCGGGGTATGAGAAATGCCAAGGGAAGACAATCTATGGAGGAGGATGGTGTGAGAGATGGTATCGAAGGCTGAACTCAAGTCGAGGAGGATGAGAATGGAGAGCAGTCCAGTATCGGCAGCAGTGAGGAGGTCATTAGTGATTTTTATGAGTGCAGTTTCTGTACTGTGGCCAGGATGAAAGCCAGACTGGAAGGGCTCATAGAGGCTATTGAGTGTGAGATGAGCATGGAGTTGAGCAGAGATTATTTTTTCAAGGATTTTTGAAAGAAAGGGAAGATTTGAGATGGGACGAAGATTATTGAAATTATTGGGATCGGTGCCGGGTTTCTTTAATATTGGAGTAATAGATGCAGTTTTGAAAAGTGATTGAACAATACCGGTAGAGAGGGAGGAGTGGATTATGGCGGTTATGAGAGGGAGAAGGGAGGTGAGACATGTTTTAACCAAAACTGTAGGGAGGGGGTCGAGAGAGCAGGTGGTGGGCTTGGATTTACAGATAATATCAGATATTTCGGATGAGGTGGGAAGAAGAAAGGAACAAAATGACTGGCCGGGTGAAAAAATCTCAGGGGGAGGGTAAGAACTTGGAATTAATTGCTGGTGTATGGAAGCAATTTTCTGAATAAAGAAGGTTAATAAAGAGTTACATGAGTCAGCAGAATACAGGTGGGGGGGTAGAGAGTCCGGGGGATGAAAAATATTGCGCATTATTGAGAACAGAGTCCTAGAGTTGCCTTCATTGGAGGAAACCAATCCAGAGTAGAACGCAGATTTTGTATGTTTTATTGAGTCCAAGTATTGAAGCAGATGAGTTTTGTGCATTTCTTTGTGTACTACAAGACCAGTTCGTTTATAGAGGCGTTCGAGTTGATGTCCTTTGGCTTTCATCTGTCGGAGTTCAGGGGTAAACCAGGGGGCAGAGTTAGTAAATGGAGACGGACAGAGTTTTGACAGGGGCAAGAGAATCCAAGATATTGTGGAGTGTGGAGTTATAATGAGAAACAAAATGGTCAGGAGAAGCAGAACTAGGGATGGATATAGTGTTAATAATAGATGACAGGGTGTCTGGGTTAATGTTTTTGATATTGCGGAATGAGATGTGACGGATAGGCTTAGTTCTTAAAGAGCAGAGGGGGATGTTGAATGACAGAAAAAAAGTGATCAGATATATTTACATCATTAGCAGAACAGTTAGATGGGGTTAAACCAGAGCAGCAGATTAAATCAAGAGAGTGACCTTTAATGTGCGTGGGAAAATTAGAATATGTTTGAAAATCGAAGCTGTTGAGGCAGGAGGAGAAGTCTCTGGTGAGGGGGAGGTTCAAGTTGTCCATATGAATATTTATGTCACCAAGCAGAATGACATGGGGGGAAAGGGTAGTGAGCTGGGTGAGCAATGAGGAGAAGTCATTTAAAAAGTCACTATTGGGCTTGGGTGGGCGGTAGATCAAGGTTATAACTGTAGGAGTGGGACCGGGTATTTGAAAAACAGAAGATTCCATGGAGCTGAAGGCAGGAGTGGAGACAGGCAGCACCTTCCACTTCTCGCGATAGAGCAGCGCGAGACCGCCCTGCGACCGGAGCCACGGCGAGAATGGACCGTGCGCTGGAAGCAGCTGTCTGGATCGCTGCGCAACAACGATCAGCGCTGTGCCTCTCTCTGTGCTCTCTTCTCAGAAGAGTCCATAAATGATGTAATATAGGTAGAAAACTTTTTTCCGGCTCCCCTGGATGTGTAGGATATCCAGCTCCCCATAATTCGATCCCTGCTCCTGGATGAAAAGCCGGACATTTTCATCAAGAACCCCCAGTCCGGACGCCCGGACAGAGAGTGAAAAGTGGACATGTCCGGGGAAAAGAGGACGGTCACCCTAGTTTAATATAAAGCGGGAGATTACAGATACAGTATTTTGCTCGTGTCCTTGCCGCCCTGGGTCCATTAGAGTTCGTGGGCCCTGGGCAATTGCCCAGTTGCCCATATGGTTAATCTGGCCTTGGGTGAGGGGGACGATTAGGAACTTCTGGTCAGCGGACCGCAATGTTCAAACAGAACACAGTGTGAGAGTGGACCACACCTTGTCAGATCAGGTGTGTTCTCCACAAGGATGCTTCCTGCCACCTCTCCTGTTCGTCCTCTACACAACGCTAGTGTCGCAGCGGTAGGGAGACGTATCCTAAAATATGCAGATGACTGTTGTGGCCAGGCTGCTGAAGGACAAAGCAGCTGCCACTGTACCGTTCCAATGCCTTTGTCCAGCGGCGTGATGAATCTCTTCAGCTGAAGGGTCGATTTCAGGAAGAGCTCTTTAGCACAACAACTACCAGCCGTTGTGTGTTACGAGTGCAGATAACGTCAGCAACAGCAAACTGACATTTCAGGAAATTTGTGAATAAAAGAGTGAATCAGCATCTTTTAGCCTGAGAAATCTCATCCTTTGATAAAACAGTTTTGTTCTGCTTTTGTTGGATCGGTTTATTCTGTTGCGTGGGGTCAGGGTTTGGAATATAAGTTAAACATAAGAGATGATGTTTGTTCAATTTTAATGTTGTGATCATGTGTTTGATGGTTACCGCAAAGCTAATTTACCTCCAGGTACAAATAAGTCTTTGATCTTAGATCAGTCCAGGTGGTTCTGGTAGGACTTAACAGGAAGTGAGTGGTCAGGCTGGGCCTGCAGAGCTTCTGATGCTCCAGGAGAGGGCACATCTGTCAGGAAGAATAACTCATAAAATAACAGTAAGGAAGCTCAGCAGGGGTCGAAGTTCGCACCACAGGCATATATATTGACAGACCCCCTATTGGCCGCACAGGCGCAGGAAATGCAGTTGCCATCTTAGAAGGGTGGAGCTTCCGACAGACACGAACCATAACAGCAGCAGTGACAGGATGCCTGAGCTCTGTGGGGATTATTCCGCTCTAACCGGCGGACTGTTGAGACCAGATTTGGGGGAATTAGTTTTACCAAATAAGTTTGAGCAATTTTGTTGTTTGTATTTAATAAATATAACTTTACTGTACTGTATTGTATTTGTGTCCATCAGCAGCACCTCCTAGCC